AGCACCAATTTTTTGGGTCAGTTCTTCGTGATTTTCCAAAGGAGGTCTTCACTAGCGTGCGTCATCTTGGGTTGACTCTCTACCAGATTTGAAACGGGCAAACCACTTAAACGTTTTTGATTGTGATAGGGCTACTTCCCCGAACGCCAATTTCAACATTTGAAACGTTTCTGACGCCGTTTTTCCTAATTTTTAACAAAACTTCATGCTTACCCTTTGTTCACTTTTAAGATACATTGTAAAAAAAATGCCGCGCCTTTTTTCTTTTCTTGAAAAAATGCTTATAAAATTCTTATTATTTGAGATATTGAAAATATATAAATATTTTCTAGTAGAACGAGGTCTCGTGATTATGAAGATGATTTTTATTTTTCGAAAACTCTTTTAGAAAAAAATTTTGATTAATTCCCCGAACTTTTTGATCATACCTTGTATATTTATAATTGTATGTAATTCTGGTGTCCTCAAAGTTTATGTCCATAGTTAATCTAAAATACCCATTTTAAGAGTCTAGCAACACAGTATCACTATAAAAGGAAGATCGAAAAATGCAATATAACAGCAGAATGGTAGATTAAACTGGTAAAACCGCTTGGGGGGTTCACCACTGATAAACCAGGCCCTTCTATTAATTTTTCCATTGCAGTGATGGCAGTAGAAATTGTTTAATTTATAAAAGAATCATACGCGTCTATAATAAATACTACTATATTAAGAATAAATAAGGTTAATATAAGAGAGAGAGAGAAATTATAAAATAATACTAATCAGGTAAACTTATTCAAAACCTATCTCTGACAAAATGCTGTTAACTATAGTTTCATCTTGTTTTTCTTCAAATTTAATTAAAGTACGGATGCTCTAAAACCTCTCAGTTGAAACTAATTTAAAAAAGGAGCAAATCCTTCAGATCGATCGGCAACCCTGCAGGTCGTATTAAATATTTGACTTTCGATGTTATACGGCGCTTTTTAAAGAATATTTATTAAATTCTCTCAACGGTTTAATTGGTTATCCATGGCTAATTAATTTCTTGCTTTTAACGAACCTTTATTAATTTTGATGTTTCTCCAAATAGATATGATTAATTAATTACATTATCTCGTTTTTTTTTTGGAGGGGGGGATTTCACATTAATGGAGTCTTAAAATTCCATTTTCATATTATATTTTGTTTGTGAGAGTGTTTTTTTTGTGTGTTTTAATTAGCCAGTTAATAAGTTAATGGGTGGAGATGTTGTCAACAAGTTTGTTGTATATCAACATGTTTATTTATAAACTAATTTGATGTAAATATATATATATATACAGTAGAACATCTATGAGAAAACACTCGCGCAAGAGGACACTTCTTTACAAAGGACAGTTTTCATTTGCAAAATTAGCATTTTTACAATTTAGCAACTCTCCGGTAATAAGACACCTCTCCCTGAAGGACACTTTGTCTCTGCATTTAGGTGTACTTTACAGGGAGGTTCTACTGTATAATATATTAAAAATAAAGAAGGCATATCCTGACCACGATGGCAGAGTGCCATCTAGTGGAACAGAAATCAACTAAACGTTAATTTAATATATATTTTTAGATATAAAAACAAGATAAATCCTTTTTATATTTTCATTTAATATAATATCAATGTTAGCGTATGTATATGTTATAATATATATGGTCTTATACTGATATCACTATGACCTATCCTATGGTATACAAAATACAAGGCTGGGTCAAAGGGTAATGTACAATCACCCCTAGAAAAAAAATCATTTATTATTATAATATACATTCTCAATATAGAGAATTCAGGTAGAAGTTGGAAGGAGCCAGGTCAGGACTGTAAGCTGGGTGAGGCGTCAAAGTCCACCCATATCTGGAATTTGAGCCAATATCTGTTGAGCTGTAAGGTCTTGCATTGTCCTGATAAAATTTGATTTTACAGTTTTTTAGACCCGGCCTTTTTGTTGAAATTTCTCTTTTTAGCTTTTCTAATTATTTACAATATCTTTCCTTGTTGATGAAAGTATTTTTCCAAGCATGTCCATGAATATGAGCCCATCTGGGTCCCAAAAGACTTATTTTAAGCCTTATTTTGAATATTATATATACGTTTTCTGGTGAATAAAATACTCTTCTTTCCATATGTGTAATCGGAATTGATTTATCTTTAGTATTCTTTTCAGATATGGAGCCTAATGTGAACACAAGAATCCTACAACGGTGGGTGACCGAGTTCCTCTTTTAGGTCCGGTGACATTTCAGCCACAACAATTCACTCAAAACTTCAACCAGTATATGGAAACGAAACATTGTATAGAGGCTCTATGCAGAGAAGGGTTCAGCGCTTCCAAAAAGGTAATTTTGATCTTCATGACAAAGAGAGGCCAGGTAAACCTTCAGCTGGCACAACAGACCAAAGTTTTGCTCTTGTTGGAGGAATTGTCAAGAATAGCCGAAAAATAACGAAATATCAATTGATGAAAAAACTTTTAATCACTGAAAGAAGTGTTCCTAAACTGCCTTCAGAGCTTGGTTATCTAAAACTGTGCTCAAAATAGGTGCCAAAGCTTCTAACACGAGAAATGATGCAAACTCGAAAGGAAATTTGTTTAAACCTCATCGAATCTTACCCAAGATCAGCCTCTAAGGCGTTTAAAGGAGTCATAACGTGTGATGAGACTTGGGTTAGCTTTCCCTTTCCAGAGACAAAATCAAGACCACGGTCTTTTGGGACAAAAATGGCCTCATATTCATGGACATGCTTGAAAAAAGTACTTCCGCCAACAAGGAAAGATATTGTAAACAATTTGAAAAGCTAAAAAGAGCAATTTCAACAAAAAGGCCGGGTCTGAAAAAACTGTGAAATCAAATTTCACCAGGACAATGCAAGACCTCACACCGCGCAACAGACATTGGCTCAAAATTCCAGATATGGGTGGACTTTGATACCCCACCCAGCTTACAGTCCTGATCTAGCTCCTTCCGACTTCTACTTGTTTGGTAAATTTAAGAAATCTTTACGCGGTAGAACATTTGAAAATGATAAGATGTTACTCCATGAGGTTAGAGGGTGGTTCAGAAAGCAAGATGTAGCATTTTACCAAAGTGATTTTGTGAGTTGGAAAGAACGCTGGAACAAATGTGTACAGAGGGAAGGTGGATATATTGAAGGATACTGATATATAGCTAATAGTTAGGTATTCATATATACAAAGTTTTCTCTTTATGGTTTTGTCAAATAATTATGGATGATTGTGCATTAATTATTGACTCAACATTGTATTTAGCTATACATACAAAACTTTCAATTTTTTTTTCAGAACCTTTGATGGAGAATAAGATCAAGCATCAATTTATATTTAGAAGACTATATGCAGTAGTTTTAGTATTTATTGGTGAGGATAGAAATTCTTTAATATACCATTGTCAGCACATTTATTCCCCAAAATGCAAAATTAGTTCGTTATTGGGCTAATTTCGGTATATTTTTAATAATCAATATGTTCGAAAATATCTTATGCTACATATTTGAAAAATTACTTCAAAATCAACTTTTTTGTTGTTGGAATAGAATAAAAAATATCCATTGAGCTTTTCATGTTTATATATGCGCATAAACATATATTGTTGACATAAATATATTGTACTACCTTGAATATTTTTGTGTTCAGCCAACTGAAATATTGGTAAATAAATTATTTTGTATCCAATATATGCTATTGTAACTTAAAAAATATATATATATAAATATCTAAATATTACATAATACCTTATAGTTTACAATCCCTATTCAGAATTTCATGGATTATTAAATAAATCGAGATAAAACACCACAAAACCTATTTAAAACAAAAGTTTTCAAACTTTATTTTTATTATATACCTATATATATTTTCTACGTAGAAGAAATCCGCTTACAATAATAAACTTTGAAATTTATTAACCACTATATCTTTGAAATATATTGCTCTAATAGAATATACGCTTCTTGGTAAAAATAAAATTTAAAACATTTTGTTTTTTATTACACACTACGCGCGTATTGAATTTTATCGATTTATCAAGTGTGTCTCCATAAAATACTGTACACTATATACTCTATAAAATACTTGTAATTGAATGGGATCGTATGTAAATAAATATGCACCAACAATTTTTTTTTATTCTACTATCTATGATTAAATTATGAAAAACGTTTAAAAATACAACACTTTGACATCATTTTGAACCGAGGAAGGCGTATAGTTAAGCGAAATTGTCCTTCAACTTGTGATCTGTGTAATATCAGAATACAAGACGAAATCATGCATACAATATTTGGTTGCTGTTGCTTGGAGAAACAAAGAGGAAAACTCTTGGGTAATTTATCTTTGTCTCAATACGATAGTCAACTTGATAAATTAAATGATGTTTGATCAAGGTCTTCTCTTTGGTTTATATAAATTCTACAAGGCCGCAGTCACACCGTTCGGAGGAGATTAATAGAATCGCCGAATGTCATGGTCCATTAGGATGAGGAAAGCGAAGACTAGAACGCGGCTGATTCCACACTAGCCTGTTCAATGATTCGCTAACCATGACGTATGCACGAAGGAACGTGTGACCATTGGACATGCGTCGGACCTGGAGGCTGTTGTTGGGTGCTTCGCTGCCTGGATTACAGGAGCTCCATCTGTGCTTCCTTTCTTCCTATGGTGAATCTGTATAAGACCGGTGGTCTTAATAAAGAAGTGTGTAAAGTAAAGCTAAATATCAAAGTTTAAAACGCACTTAGAAAATTAGGTTATTCAGCAAATTTCACATTTTCACTAAGCTCCGTTTCCAGTGATAGTCGTTACAATATATCATAACTGATTATGATTTTTTTTTAATTTAATTATTTTTTATTATTACCTTGTTTTAATATATCATAACATAACTTTTTATATGCACAACTAGATTAATTTTAGCTCTCTCTCTCTCTCTTCCCCGATACTCTGAATTTTTGTTCTATAGAATAATAAATACATTTAACGCAAAAAAAAAAAAAAGACGAACCCACGACCCTGAGATTAAGAGTCTCATGCTCTACCGACTGAGCTAGCCGGGCATGTTTTAGTTGGTTAGAAACATATTCTAAAGGTCGTTTAATCTAATATTAGGTCAATGGTAAATTGATGCGGAAGGTAAAGTGAAGTGCCGCAGAAATCTTCAATTGTATTCTACTGAAATATATTTTATCATAAGAATGTTCACATCTCCGTTCGCATACACCTTTAATAAAAGATTATCTCAACTATATAAATCAATAAATGCGAACTGATAAACAAAACAAAATTTACCAAGAGAAATACTTACAACAATAATTGGTGAAGAAAAAGAATTATTATGAATCATTTATATCACTCCATTTATAATGCTAATTATACAATTCGCACTATTTTTTCAAACGGATTTCCTAAACAGTTCCATTCAAATTTTATAGTCACTCAATTTGTCACATCACACGGAAAATTCCAGAAATAATTACATAAAAGAAGTCTATCAGAAACACCAAATTGTTACTTCGAAGAAATTGAACAAACTGCTCTTCACCTTATTTATGACTGTCCGAACTTTACAGAAGTGGGACATCGTTTTTTGCCTGATCTAAATGATTTAACTCTCTTACATCAGCCACTTTGTCCATATAATTTTTATGACTTCTGTCGATTAAAATACATGTATATTTGTAAATATTTATTTCTAAGTTCTGATTTGTTTTGTTACCTCTGTAATAGGCACAAATATTTCAATACAGTAAAACCTCCTATGAAGGACACCTAATTGCAGAGCCAAAGTGTCTTTTAGGGAGAGGTGTCCTCTTACCGGAGAGTTGATAAATAGTAAAAATGGTAATTTTGCAAAAGAAAACTGTCGTTTGTGGAGAGGTGTCCGCTAAAGGGAGGTTCTACTGTATCGCGCCTGGTTGATTAATGAATTTAAAAAAAAAAAAGAATATTTTCGAATATTATATCTGAAATTCCGCAAATGACCTTTGTTTGCACACATTTGTGTGGATCTATGTAGAGCTGACCCTCTATGGGTATTGGCTTTGAGATGTGGTGTCGGAGACGTCGGATGGACATTTCTATTATTATTTTTATACTATCCCTAGTACACGTGGTACAGGCCATAATATTCATGGTGGGTAGTAGTTAGCGACTGCTTTTACTGTAAGTGTAATACTGTAAGTACTACAAGTAGAAAGCAGACTTTTTCAAGAATCGGGGGGGATTTAAAGCAAATTCCTATTCAGAAAAAAATGTTAAATACTAGATTCGATTCACTGTCGTGCCCTTAAAAGTCTAACATTTCATTAAAAAAAAAAACGCAGTCGACAGGATTCGAACTTGTGCGGGGGGATCCCAATGGATTTCTAGTCCATCGCCTTAACCACTCGGCCACGACTGCACGGTCGTATACGAGTATATTGATGTTACGATCTTTCAAGCTTGTTTTTGGCTTAAACATCTAATATACAACAATGAAACGTGGCTAATTTTGACAGAAAAGAAAAACAAGCTTTCATTAGAACATTTTAAACCCTTCCTGAGCGACCACTTTTGTAAATTCCCATAATCCAACCTCTAATAAAGGACTAGGAGTGTATATCAATGTTTTAGGAAGTCTTTCACAAATGGTCTTTTTTACCGTTAATTGTTGGAATATTCGCGATTGTAACTGGACCCAAGTCGAAGTTTTCTTACCGAACATTGTTTTAGCAATACTACCCTATCAGTAGTAGTAGAAAACACATTAATATATAGTTGGGATCATTTTATATCACACAATATGTAGAATAGTTATTGGATTTTTAATTTGATTATACTTCGAATAGCTTCAATTTTAAGTTGTATCTTCATCTATACTCCAAATTGTTGAATATATGAATTTTTATAATTAGTAGATTTAATGGATAAAATTGAAATTGGCCTTCGAACCTACCATATATATATAAATAAAACTCATAATTAATTGTATGTGCAATCATATATGAATTGGCTTCGCCAGTTTTCTGCTCTCGAGTGACTTAATGTTCCTTTAAATAATCTTGTTTCTGCCTTTTTTTTGAACATAATGCAGAAATCACCATTCATCATCATCATTTTATCTAAAAAAAAATTGAAGTTATATCAAAAAGGTATGGTGCAGCTATTTTATCATCATTATTTCCTGACTGTTTTAATAAATAAATTAGTCCAGTATTTGGTTAAATCGAGTTTTCTTTGGTAAAAGAAAAAACGGGACAAATACTGCCTTCAGAGATTCAACTTTATATCCTGTTAAATTTAAGCCAGATTGGTTGAATATTGAGGAAACGTATAATTGACAAATTTATATATATATTTTCGCAAATTATGTATTATTTTATTACCAGAGTATCATTTTTGATGTTTATACTTTTCTACTCTGTAAACTTCCCTCATTGTTTATCTTTTGTCTATCATTCTTTGTTGGTTCTTGCCTGAAATAAATTGCTATCTCATCCCGAAGTTGGTCTTCCCTAATTGTCCACGTGGCAATATATATTGGTAAAATAATTGATATTTTGATCCAATATATGCCTTTTTAATTAAATATTTATTTATGGATTGCTCTATTTTCAAATATATATATGAAAAAACAAAAGAAAAAATAAAAGATACGTGGGTCAGGTGTTGTTATTAAAAATAAAGAAGGCATCTCCTGACCACGAGCACATGTGCTTTTTAGATATTTTAGATAAGTTTATTTTTGCTCCACTAGATGGTGCTCTGCCATCTAAAAAGTACATGTGCTCGTGGTCAGAAGATGCCTTCTTTATTTTTAATATATATATATATTTACATATATTATATATATATACATATATTTATATATTATATGTACGTTTATTGTTCATATACGTTGACGTATTACGTCGAAAATGATTTGAAACTTGATTGAAGAAACTTTAAATGTGTCATTTGTATCATTCAATAGGAATCAATTTCTGAATACAAACAGGATTATATTAAAAATATATCAATATTGTAATTTTACTTATCTTCGAATAATAGTCAAGTCGTATTTCTTTTTTATTATTTAATATAATCTGTAATTAAAGGAGTTTTGGCCAAACTGGGAACACATTTATACGAAGTCGTCTTGTAAGCTTGTATGCCCCATAGTAATATCTGATAATATTGTGTTGATTTTATTTTTTGTATAGATATTTTAAAATAAATTTAAGCCATATTTCTGAACCGTATGATAACATTGGTTTAAATAAATATTTATAAAATGCAATTCTTTTTAGGAGCTCATACAAACCCCAAGGTTTACTGAAAAGAGAAAATAGTGTTACGTCGTACCTAGACATTATTCGTGTACTTTGTCTACTCAGGATGCCACAAAGATACATATGTTAGTTCGAAGGGATTGCAGCTAAAGTTAGCGCTTTATTGTATCTCACTCAAACGGAAGGAATACAACAGTGGGACTTGCCTTCAACCTCCCCGTCAAAAGAATCCTTGGCGCCGTGGACGTCCTCTTGTGAAGCGTTCCGCTCCACACTATACACATGCAGCCTGGCCCACACCGCCTTGTAGGTCACTCCGATGTCTCTCCTAGCACCGCCTTGTAAGATCATCCACACGCCCGGAGGCAAGTTGCCACGTCTTCTCCTCGCCGCAGATGTAACCAGACTCTGTCCTCTCCCACACAGGAATGCTGTTTTAGGCGCCTGCCACATGGCTGCGGGAGCAGCTGGAGTCCACACCTTTTCCCCCAACTTTACTCTGGTCTCTCGGCCTTGTCATCAATGTAACAATATTAAAAAATTCAATCTTTGAGTTCTGCTCACTATTTTCTCTATATGAAAAGCAACATTCAATTTGTTTGTTTTTCTATAATTTGCTATTTTTCCCTAAAATTTCTATTCTGTGCTAGTGATATTATTTCTTTTTTAATTTAACTGTGGGATATTTCTTTATTATGCAAAAAATAAAAAATATATATAAAATGTTGTTTTTTAGAACTTATTTCCAACTTATTTTATTACACCATAATTCGATAGTATTTGATGCAATTTTAATTCCTATTTTTAGTGCTTTTAGATCTTTATTTCAGCATAATAATGATATTTCATCGCATAACAGATCAACTCACAATTGGCCACATGGTAATCCATCAGTAAACCATTCAATAAAATTGCCCATAGAAGTGGAGAAAGCGGACCACCTTGAGGATATCCCTTAGTAATTGGCTTTAAGTTGTTAAATTGTCGTAATTGAAATATATAACCCCCTGAAGTTTTAATATGATTGTTATTTTGGTAAAATTTTACAGGTGAATTATCTCTGGCCACCATGAATTGTCAAAATCCGACAAGATATCTATTGTTACTAATACAGCCAATTCTTATTGTTTATGTTCCATTAACATACTTGGATTATTGTATTCAAATCAGACTTCGACTTGATAAATCCATGTTGTTTCGGGATTAAAATATCTTTTTTGTTTTGAATATTATATTACAATATTTCATTTTCGAGAATTTTTTCAATAATCTTTGAAAAATTTAATAATAAAGATATTGGACGGTAGCTTTTAGCTAATTCGCAATTGGTTTTGTTGGACTTCGCTATTATTTTGAGTGCTGTTTTCCATTTTTTGGGGAATATCCTATTTGAATGCATTTATTAAAAAAAAAGAGGGTAATATCGGAAGAATAAATGGGAAAGCATTTTTATTCTTATTAGTATTAATATAATCTGGACCAGGAAAGAGATTTAATTACATTAATTTTGTCAATTAACTCTTCTATTTCTTTCATATGAATATGGCATGCGTTGCAATTTGTAAATTTCGACTTATAGTTTCTTAATGATGTACGATTATTGTATGAAATGATGATATCATAAGGAATTAATTGATTTAGAAGATCTTTCATTAAGTTTTATTTTTTGAATCTTCTGATACATGTTCGATTATTGTTAGTGCCTTTTGTAAATTAGAGTAACTTGGTTCTTAAAAGTTTTGTAGGCGGTTCCGAACGGATTATTATATTCATATTATTCTATAAAATTGTCCCAACTGTTTCT